TAGTGGTGATGCAGATTTTTCGTCTCCCCCCCTCCCCTTCCGAACGTTTTTTCTCATTACGTCACTGCCCCGGGAAGGTGAGCCCCCTGGAATGTTTGCCCCCCCCCCCCTCCAATCCCAAACTGCTTCCGGCGCGCCTGGTGTGGTATGTACTGAACCATGTGTAAACTCTGTAATCACAGTATTTTCATAGTGTGGGTTTCAAATCATGTGGGTTACCACATAGTCGTACATATTTAACACAGATTGACACATATTTACCACAGCGTGGGGTTTGATTTACCACATAATCGGTTATATTTCACACTTAATGACACATATTTGCAACAGTGTGGTATGTATTTAACTACGTGCAAACTCTGCGATCACATGTGGTCTTCCACATAGTCGTACATATTTAACACAGTGTGCCACATATTTACCACAATGTGGTATGAATCACTATGTGTTAATTTGCATAATGAATATGAGGTGCGTGCAGATCTTTTTTGTTATACAATTTATCTGAATTTAAAGCATATTTCTTAATTACTGATGCTTTAGTTTCATTCAATTCATTTAAAAAGTACTACAAAATATAAATTGCCAATTATTAGGACATTTTACTAATTTGTATAAATTATATTTAATTAAACATGAATTAGGGAAATATTAACTATGAACTAAAATAAATTCAATAAAATACAAGTAAACGGAAAGTCGTGGGACACCTAAACAATCCTACTTATTACCAATGCCTTTACATTGGAAATTGTAGATGAACCAGTGATGCTGTGTTATTTGTTGCCACTTGCCAAATTAATTAGTACAATTGTTTATCTCAGGTTTTAAACGTAGACTTAAGTCATATTTACTTCACAAGTATGTCGATGACATATCAATGTGTTATCAAGCTTTATTTTTCGTGTACTGTAGCATATTCAACTCTACTCTCGATCTATTTTTCGTTATTTCTTGACTTTGACATAATCCCCTTTATCCCTTTTCTTTTTTATTCTTCTTTCTCATCTGTACATATACCATATATTCCTGTTTGTCGTTCTTGACCTCTGCACTCAGAGAGCAATAACTCAGTAATGTATCGATTTGGTGTCAGCTTGGGTTTGTCCATATTAGAACGCCCTCCCATGGGTGGGTTGATTTTTGCTAATATGATACATTTTCTCACACACACAGTGAGTTTGTTAGGTGTGATGGGGATGTGCGCATCTTCAGGTATACTTGATGTATTTAACCATGATGCGGTCGATGCATCGTTGGGTAGTTGTTCTCTGAGAGTATTTTGTAAATATGTTCCATATTTGTTGTTGTATTCATGAATCAGTTATCTTTGTCACATCATCTGAGGGGGCCTTAACTTAACAAGCTGTGCTTTCAAGTCTCCGCCGCTCTTTCTTCGCTTCGGTGATGTCATAGTTATACCGAGTCTAGGCTGGAGCATGGGAGTTCAGTAACCTGCAGAGTTCTGAGTTGTAGCGGATAACGGCAGCATCAACGCTCTCTGTTGCTGAAGACATGATGCTACTGTTAGTAACATCGTTGGCGAAATCAGTCCTGTTGATGCCCTTGATATTACGAGAGGAGAAGGTTGCATTTTTCCGCTGGGGCTTGTCGAAACGTAGCAAACAGGTAACAGCAGAGTGATCAGAGATACCGGGTATTACTCGTAGGCGAGAGTACAACAGTCTATCGGAGTTCCTGACCAGAATGACATCAAGGATATGGCCATGGTCGTGCGTAGGCGTAGTCACCAACTGGCAGAGTCCATGGCCGTCGACAAGATCATTGAACCTGTGGGTGTGTTGGGATGAGAGATTGTCTAAATGTATATTAAGATCTCCTGTGATGACCAGAGAGATAATTTATACAATTTCTCATCCAACAGATCTGAGAATTCATTAATAAACAATGTAAAAGATTGATAACCTGGTGGTCTATACGTGACTAAGATCTCAAGACTAGTCATGCCATTGGAGACCATGGCTGACATAGACTAACAACTTGTATAGTTAACTAATTGGTTAATATGTACAGAGAGATTGTCCCTGTACAAAAGCCCGACACCACCTCCACGCCTGGAGGCTCTGGGGTGGTGCAGAAATGCAAAGCCAGGGGAGTGAGGTCAGGTATGACTGCATCATCAGATGCAGACAGCCATGTCTCACTGATAGCAGCGATATCACATTTGTTATCCTTAACAAAGTCATTAAAAATTGTGGATTTATTTCGAAGGGAGCGTGCATTGATAGTACATACTTTAAGATGGTCTTCGAATTTGTCACGGCCACCCCTTTCCCCCCTGATGTGTCCTCAGCCGTCGCCCGATACCTAGGGATAAAATCCTCCCCCAGGCCAAAGTGTTGTCCTTCCGGAATTGAGCAAGTGTAGAAATTCACTTGTATACTGAATCCTATGAATATCCAAAGTCGTGGCGGAGTCATCACCAGAAGGGCCTGGATTAGGGTTAATATCCCCACAACTTAGTAGTTTGACATGATAGGTTGACACAGAATTGTGATAGTACAGTATGGGACGCCCAATGTACTTTCCCTTTGATTGTGCGGAGACATTGAACTGCTGAGAGTAGCTAGCTCTCATACAACAATAAATATGTGGTAGCTGAGTGCTTCTACACAAGAGAAGCACCACCAATACAATGGAATACAATTTCAATGGTATTATTGTGTCTGTGAGAGTGATCACACAATGCCACTACTACGTAGTTGATACCATAGTGTGGGCCACATGTGATTTAGGACATGTGGTAACGGTGGTAACGCTGTGGTGTACTATGTGGACATGTGGTAACGCTCAGTGATACCACAGTGTGGGCCACATGTGATTTTGGGACATGTGGTAATGCTGTGGTGTACTAGGTAGTGCAGTCGATACCACAGCGTTACCACATTGTGGTACGCACCACATAGTACACCACAGTGTTACCACATGTCCCAAAATCACATGTGGCCCACATTGTGGTAACGCACTGTGTTTGACTATATGGTACACAGTGTGGTTCACTATGTGGTAACACTGTGATTGTTCCAAAAGGGATAATGCACCCATCTTTCCTTGATGTCTTCATTCTCCGTCAGTGTTTTGCCATTTTCGTCATTAATTACATCCAGTCTTGCGATTCTTGTGTTTGTGATTTCTTTCAAAATGGCAAATGCTGCCTTGGAGTTGTTCTTGCGACGCTCTAGGTCTTCACACTTTCACTCGATGTAATTCCTTTTGTCCTCCTATACACTACTTGTAACCGCCTTGTTGATGTCGACTAGTGACCAGATCACCGATGAGTGACGAGTACCGAGTAGGGCATCGCCAACTCCGCTTGTCTGAGATACATGATACTTTCCTTGTAGGCACTGACGCCATACCTTCTACTTCGATGTCGACGAGCGACTTGATCAAAGAGTACCGAGATAGACATAGACAGCGACATCGCAAACATAATTCGTCCCTGTTTTCACGAAGTGACGGTAGAGCGCGCAACCAAAAGAAAGTTAGTTTTGAATAAATCGCTTTCAAAGTTTCAAACCATAATCTCTACATCTTTAATGTATCAAAGGCAAATAAATTTTATATCCTGGGATAGAAAATATCTTAATGTTTAGTTCTATGTTTAAATATTTCCATAATTTCTTATATTTTTTGGGGAAATGAGCTGTAAACATTACCGTCACTTCGTGAAAACACGAAATTCAAGGACGCGCTGTGATTTTATTTTCACGAAGTGACGGTACGTAGCCGCGCGCGTAAAACATATGGGATTTTTCTCTCGTGGATGGAATTCCCGAAATGGACACTAAATACGGCAAAACGTTTTGTTTAATTGATGTACAGATAAAATAATTCAAACTGTGAGAAAGAGTACATTTTCCTCTTTCTGTAGCTGCTTTTTCATTTCTCTGTGTGAACTGTTAACACAACCGTCATTTCGTGAAAACACAAATTGCATAGAACGCTTTGATTTTGTTTTCACGAAGTGACGGTACGTAGCCGCGCGCGTAAAACGTATGGGACTTTTCCCTTGTGGATGGAATTCTCGAAATGGACACTAAAAACGGCATTATGTTTTATTTAATTGATGTACAGATACAATAATGCGAACTGAGAGATAGAGTACATTTTCCTCGTTTGGTAGCTATTTTTTTTTATTGATAAGAATAAACTGAATGTCTCTGTATGAACTTTTAACTTAACCGTCATTTCGTGAAAACACAAATCACGCAGAACGCTTGTATTTTGTTTTCACGAAGTGACGGCTCGTAGCCGAGCGCGTATAAAACATATGGGATTTTTATTGTGTGAAGCAATTTCATGAGATAGAGACTGAAATACGGCAAAATTACTTGTTTAATATATGTATGGATAAAATAAGAGCACCTTTTCTTCTTTGTATAATTAGGATGTTAGATGTATGATGTCAGTTTTTGTTCACGAAGCTACGGCTCACAATAAATTAACTATCAATAGCACAGATGGATACTGGCACTAAGTGCTTTTAAAATGATTAATAAGCTATTCTCTTTAATCTTAGGCTAAAAATGGATATGTATTTAATATTATTTGAGGTTTAATTATCAGGTACATTGTATGTATAGGGACTAAAGATTGCACTAAAGTTACTATATACTTTCCACTTACGAACACGTTCAAGTAGTCTCTCCCCCCCCCCCCCCTCTCTCTCTCTCTCTCCCTCTCTCTCTCCCTCTCTCTCTCTCTCTCTCTTTACCCCCTCCATCTCCCCTTAATATCACACAAATTCTGCCATTTCTTGCTGAAATTCATGCGAGTGATATCAGGGCTTTTGCTACTCTATTACTATGAGGAATTTCTAAAATTTTAGAGAGGGGCCTAGCTAAATATATTTTTTCAGATAGGAAATAAAGCAAATATGTTAAGAAATATTTTTGAATGAAGGAAAAAGATTAAGTATTGATAATTGACCATAATCTGTAGTTAACTACTCAACTCTGCAATATAAACACAGAAAATGAATTTTGACTGAGCAGTTTTAATTCAAACATTTGGAACCAGAACAGCAAGTGGAAAATGGAGCATAAATTCAAAAATATTAAATAATTCATACCAAACATATCATCATCAATTATCATCAATACTGTATTGCATTTTAAAATGTACATTTAGGGTTCTGTGGAAAAGACTCATCAGTTATATACATCCACGGAATACGAAGGTTATTTCATTCATTATACAGTACTTGTAAATATGCTAAAATGTCTTTATCTAATTCTTTATATACGACTTGGTTATCATGTTTATTCAGCAATCGTAGCGAGTTAATGCCACATGTGACATACAAAATGCTCGACAAACATGTACTACATGTATCATAAAGTTTTCCAATGGGAAAAATGACTAATATAATAATCATCGTTACTTTTTTGTTCATCACTGTTTTTCATAAATATCTTGTGAGTAGAGTATCAGAACCAAGTCAGTTTACACAATCTCTTTCTAAGGTATTTCAATGAAATTTAGTACACAGTCTCAAACGCTACAAAGTTTACCAATGCTTAAAGGTTGTCTTCACCCAGGTAAACACGTAATCTCTGACTAAACTATTATCAGCTAAACAATGCATGATAAACATGGAAATATCAATTTGACTAATCAATTTCATTTGTCATCAAACAGATACAATTCAAAACAGCAACATTATATTGTATGATCATTATAGGATAGTTTGAAGTACCAAATACAATTATGAGAATGACTATAGAAGAAATAAATTAAAACATTAAATGTGAACTAGTAACATTGTGTTTTGAGAGAAAAACCAATTGTTGAAATGTAACTTATATTCATGTTCTAATGAAGGCATCAACCACTGTGAATACAAACATTTAAAGAAAATGGATAAACAAATTCTTCAATACAAAGATACAATATGAGGATTCATGGAACTGGAATCGAAAACTCTAATATGCATTACTGATCGAGGTAGGTATACCTGATAAATAGCAGTTCTGAGCTATACATTTGAATATTAAAGATTTATGTTTGCAGGAGTTCATTACAATACTGTAACAGAAAACTGACACCTGTACGACCATTCAGTTAATTGTTTCAGAACTCATGGAAAATGTTACCAGTTTGCTTTAAATCAATTCATTGATTTTATAATCAATCCATTTCATTGTTATTGCTAGTACACACAATTACAATTATGAGTGGAGTTTGCTTTATTTATGATATTCAAAATGTTTAAAATCAAACAGTATAAAAGAGAGATTGAGGTATTGAAACATTGAAGCATTGCCAAAACGATCTATGTAATTGATTCTAGTTTCTCAAGCATGCCCTCCAACACAAGTCCTTCAAGTTTCTTCACACATAATGTCATCCAAGCGATAGTGGTTGAAGCAGCGAAGATTCTTGATCTAGACTGCTTGAAAGTAAAAGGAAATAAGAGAAAGAAAAATCATAATAAAAAAAGTCCAAGTCAGAATCAATAAAAAATCATTATCAGAATTTCAATTATGAAAGGGAAACTTTACAGTGCATTATGATTGGGCAAAATTATTATGTGTAGTTTTGGTATCCAATTTTAGAGAGTCTCTTAATAAATTAAATACTTTATGTGGTATCACCTTAGTATTGGAATTTTTTAAAGGATTTAAAAAAATTTAATGCTGACCTCGATAGGACCACTCATTCCCTTAGCTAAGAGACCTAAGCATTAAAAACAATTAAGAATATCTTAAATTTTAACTATTGGGAAACAATCAAGAAGGAAAAAAGATACCTTTTGACTCGCTCACAAGCATAGACAATGGGTCCTCATCAGAATCGCAATCGGAGCCGTCAGGAGACTTTAAGGGTCACCATGCCAAGTCACACATGCAGCTCTGACTGTGTTCGGTGAATTGCTTCAACAGTGTTCGGTGAATTGCTTCAACGGTTCCATACCGCTCCCACTCTTAGGTCACTATGCCGAGTCACATCTGCAGCTCTGTGTTCAGTGAATTATCAAGGACCCATCTTACCAGCATGTCGGTCCCTGTATCCAATCTAATTTTGTAGAATGAAAGAAATAATTACAAGTTATTTTCTTTCATTTTTTTGCAAGCAGAGGTAAGGAAATGAATCCAATATTATCTTTTGTACATCAAATTAATTAATAGGCGTAACTGACCCCAAACAGAAGTTTTCAATTGCCCCTATTACCCCAAAATAGAATTTTCCAATTGCCCCTACCAAACAACAACTACCCCTATGCACATAAGCAATGAGTGTGCTTTAGTACTTTGCTGCTAAAGTGTGATTTTCTTGAACAGATCATGAAACTATTCTCACCTGGATTTGTGTCTGGCCTGTGGCATTCTTGAAAAGTAGATGTACTTTCCCAGTGCTTCCTTCATATAAAGTGCAAATTGTATCTACTGCATCTGAAACTAAGTGAAAGCAAAAACATCATCATAATTTCATTACCACTGAAGTGTAGGTAGTGAGACATGTACATCATCTGGTATGGTGCTTGCTTGGAAAAATCTTTAAAACACGAAGTGGAGTTGGGCAACATTTGCTGGTATCAAGAACAATTGTTTAAAATAATTTTTGTATAGGGTGAGGGACCAAGGGTACTAAAGTAAAGTGCTGCCTTTGAATATAACAGACACAGAGTACAGATAACGAGAGAAACTAAGCTAAACATGTGGACATTGTTCCCCAAAAGGTAGACTACTCATGATTACTTCAGTCTAAAAAAAAAAAAGTATTCCTTTTTCGGATGGTGCCATTTATTCATTTTCAGGGCAGGACCGTATCTAATTTTCAATTTTTAATTAAATGTTCATCCATGTCCTTCTTTGCTTGAAAGGCAAATCATTGAATTCCCTAACATTAACAGTTAACCAGGAGGGGCTACATCCCAGGTCATCTCAGCTCAGCATGATGATAATTTTCGTAACTCCCTTTGCCCTTGGCCATGTTGATGTTGGCCTTGGGCTTGGAGCCCTGAAATTTCTTAAACCCCAGGCACGCGCGCCTTACAAGAAAGGTCTCAGTCTTGTCGAGATCCTGATCTTCCCACCTCTAGATTCTAGATTGATGAGTAGTGGCTGACATAAACTGATAATTATAAAATGATGATCTAGAGTAACTAGAGTTCTAGGCTCTAAATTAAATTTATAATTAGCTAAATAGTAAATTACTGAAAAAATAAAAGTAAAACTCTAGACCCCTCTAGTCTCTAGAGTCTAGATGATCTACTCTCTAACTTTCTGTAAAACTTTGTTCAAATTTATAACTTAAGCAGATATAAAAAGAACGTTATAGCATTAATATTTGGTGTGGACCAAAATAAGAAAGACTCTCCACTTAAGTTATTTAGTCTAGATGCATATTTGTTAAGTCTAAGTTGATCTTTTTAGTTTTGGATCACATGATACTTTACTCCTTTATTCACTTACATGAAAATAAGTATATGGGGCAAAATGTGGAACGGCGGTGTATTTTTCACACATTTCTGTGCTCATGGACATATTTATGGCTTACAAAGAATCAGAATGAATCAAAAGAGCGTACCACATTAATTTACCCTAATTTTTTTTTTTTTTAAACTCACCTTTTCATGGTCTGTGACTGTTCCAAACTGCGAATTTTTCACTACCGTCACTTCGTGAAAATATTAAAAGCAGGAAAAGAGCAAACGATGTTTTCACGAATTGACGGCTGTTAAGCGCGTACTTGGCCGTCACTTCGTGAAAACAGAAAATCCTTTTGCTATGCATTTTCTTGTTTACGTCATCGTCATAGCGACATAATTAGACATTATTATGATCTGAAATTTTGTGAGGTTCAAGATGTTAGTGAATGATGTCCAAAAATGCAAAAAAATCAAAAGTGAAAATGTATGCGATTTTCCTCACTACCGTCACTTCGTGAAAACAGGGACGAATATGTAAGGACATTGTCGACGCCATCAGGAATTGAAGGAGAGCTCCACCCAATAAACAAAATCACGTGAAAATCACGTAAATATCAAGGTATCGACTTGAGGAGAGTTACGTTCTTCAAACACCTGACATTTACGTAAATGTATTAATACGTTTATTGCACTAGGTCACCTAAAACACCCGTACACTAAATCACGCAATTGTCACTGCAGTATCACCATTTTAATAACGTGATTATCCCTACCTTGGAGACCATGGTTTGTAAACCTAATACTCCCGTGTTTGTTTTGTTATGAAATTACATCTTCATAAACGAAATTATCGCGTCACAGAAACACGTGAAGCGTTAGTGATAGTTTTAGTCAAAATATCTGCGTGAAATTCACGTGAATATTACGAGGCTGACTTGAGATGAATCATGTTCGTCATTCACGTGAAATTTACGTCGGAGAGGAAATATTTGACTGTAACCCGCGTTCAACCCAATAATTACGCAAATATTACACAATAAATGAACCAAAATAATGACGTTCTCCAGGCGCGGATCCAGGATTTCTAAGGGGGGGGGGGCCCAAATTTGAAATTATGCGAGCCAAATATTGGTACGTAATGGCGACCAACAGTGGCGTAATGCGGGGGGGGGGGGGGGGTCGGTGCAAGGGGGGCGAGTTTCCCCCTCCCAGGCTTTGAAGTTTCATTATATTATTAGAGAAAGAAGACGATTCGTTGTACCGTTCTGGAAAATAATTCTCGTCTGAATTTAGTTTTTCCCCTCCCGCGCGAAGCGCGGAAAATTTTACGATTTATTAAATTATTATAGATAGAAGACGATCGTTGTAGAGTTCTCGACTCTTAATCCTTGTCTAAATTCAGTCCCCCCCTCCCCCTCCTGCGCGAAGCGTGGAAGCTTTGACGTTTAATTAAACTTTTAAAGAAAGAAGACGATTCGTTGTACCGTTCTCGACCCTTTATCCTCATCTGATTTCAGTTTCCCCCCCTCCCGCGCGAAGGGCGGAAGCTTTTACGTTTCATTAAATCATTAGAGAAAGAAAACAATTCGTTGTACAGTTCTCGACTCTTAATCCTCGTCTAAATTCAGTCCCCCCTCCCCCTCCTGCGCGAAGCGCGGAAGCTTCTACGTTGCATTAAATCATTAGAGAAAGAAGACGATTTGTTGTACCGTTCTCGACCCTTTATCCTTGTCTGATTTCAGTTCCCCCCCCCCTCCCGCGCGAAGGGCGGAAGCTTTTACGTTTCATTAAATCATTAGACAAAGAAAACAATTCGTTGTACAGTTCTCGACTCTTAATCCTCGTCTAAATTCAGTCCACCCCCCTCCCCTTCTGCGCGAAGCGCGGAAGCTTCTACGTTGCATTAAACTATTAAAGAAAGAAGACGATTCGTTGTACCGTTCTCGACCCTTTATCCTCGTCTGATTTCAGTTCCCCCCCCCCCTCCCGCGCGAAGGGCGGAAGCTTTTACGTTTCATTAAATCATTAGACAAAGAAAACAATTCGTTGTACAGTTCTCGACTCTTAATCCTCGTCTAAATTCAGTCCACCCCCCTCCCCTTCTGCGCGAAGCGCGGAAGCTTCTACGTTGCATTAAACTATTAAAGAAAGAAGACGATTCGTTGTACCGTTCTCGACCCTTTATCCTCGTCTGATTTCAGTTCCCCCCTCCCGCGCGAAGGGCGGAAGCTTTTACGTTTCATTAAATCATTAGAGAAAGAAAACAATTCGTTGTACAGTTCTCGACTCTTAATCCTCGTCTAAATTCAGTCCCCCCCCCTCCCCCTCCTGCGCGAAGCGCGGAAGCTTCTACGTTGCATTAAACTATTAAAGAAAGAAGACGATTCGTTGTACCGTTCTCGACCCTTTATCCTCGTCTGATTTCAGTTCCCCCCCCCTTCCTCGCGAAGCGCGGAAGCTTTTACGTTTCATTAAATCATTAGAGAAAGAAAACGATTCGTTGTACAGTTTTCGACTCTTAATCCTTGTCTAAAATCAGTGCCCTCCCCTCCCCCTCCTGCGTGAAGCGCGGAAGCTTCTACGTTGCATTAAATCACTAGAGAAAGAAGACGATTTGTTGTACCGTTCTCGACTCTTAATCCTCGTCTGAATTCAGTTCCCCCCCCCTCCCGCGCGAAGTGCGGAAGCTCTTACGTTTCATTAAATCATTAGAGGAAGAAAACGATTCGTTGTACAGTTCTCGACTCTTAATCCTTGTCTAAAATTAGTCCCCATCCCCTTCCCCCTCCTGCGCGAAGCGTGGAAGCTTCTACGTTTCATTAAATCATTAGAGAAAGAAGACGATTCGTTGTACATTTCTTGACTCTTAATCCTCGTCTGAATTCAGGTTTTCCCCTCCCGCGCAAAGTGCCGAATCTTTTAATCTTCATTTAATCGTTAGAGAAGAAGACGATTCATTGTACCGTTCTCGAAAATAAAGCTCATCGGAATTTAGTTCCCCCTCCATCCCGCGCGAAGCGCAGAAGCTATTACGTTTCATAAAATCATTAAAGATTCGTATTACCGTTCTCGCCTCTGAATCCTCGTCTGAATTCAGTTTCCCCCTCCCGCGCGAAGGGCGGAAGTTTTAACGTTGCATTAAACTATTAAAGAAAGAAGACGATTCGTTGTACTGTTCTCGACCCTTTATCCTCGTCTGATTTCAGTTCCCCCCCCCCTTCCGCGCAAAGCGCGGAAGCTTTTACGTTTCATTAAATCATTAGAGAAAGAAAACGATTCGTTGTACAGTTTTCGACTCTTAATCCTTGTCTAAAATCAGTGCCCTCCCCTCCCCCTCCTGCGCGAAGCGCGGAAGCTTCTACGTTGCATTAAATCACTAGAGAAAGAAGACGATTTGTTGTACCGTTCTCGATTCTTAATCCTCGTCTGAATTCAGTCCCCCCCCCCTCCCGTGCGAAGTGCGGAAGCTCTTACGTTTCATTAAATCATTAGAGGAAGAAAACGATTCGTTGTACAGTTCTCGACTCTTAATCCTTGTCTAAAATTAGTCCCCATCCCCTTCCCCCTCCTGCGCGAAGCGTGGAAACTTCTACGTTTCATTAAATCATTAGAGAAAGAAGACGATTCGTTGTACAGTTCTTGACTCTTAATCCTCGTCTGAATTCAGGTTTTCCCCTCCCGCGCAAAGTGCCGAATCTTTTAATCTTCATTTAATCGTTAGAGAAGAAGACGATTCATTGTACCGTACTCGAAAATAAAGCTCATCGGAATTTAGTTCCCCCTCCATCCCGCGCGAAGCGCAGAAGCTATTACGTTTCATTAAATCATTAAAGATTCGTATTACCGTTCTCGCCTCTGAATCCTCGTCTAAATTCAGTCCCCCCCCCCACCCCTCCTGCGCGAGGCTTGGACGTTTTATTATTAGAGAAAGAAAACGATGCATTGTACCGTTCTCTATACTCTTAATCCTTGTCTGAATTTCAAAGATGTTCTTTGTCTGCTCCTTTTTCTTCCTACGTCCTCTTCCGATTGGAGGGGGACCCCCCCCCCCCCTGGCTACGCGCCTGCGGTCAGATAAACACATCTTGATACCTTGTCCGACCCCGCAAGCTCAGGGGTTTAAGGCAATAAATTACGATCAGATAAGCATTCAGGGGTCGAGGCGGCGGAGCCGGCCCCGGAAGCTCAGGGGTTTTAGGCGTTTAATAAAGGTCAGATGAGCACATTTTTATGAATACTTTATTATTTTGTGACACTGGCAAGTTACTATTTGGCGTGGGGTACAGGGGGCGGAGCCCCAAAAAATCAGGGGTTTTAGGCATTAATTTACCGGCAGATTATCATCTAAGGGCCCGCAGTAGGGCCCTAGATGGAATCCAGGGGGCAAAGCCCCCGGAAGCTTAAGGGTTTTAGGCATTTAATCACGGTCAGATGAGCACATTTTGATGCCTCATTATTTTGTTAACACTGGCAGTTAACTATTCTCACTTTCTTGCTCTCATTCTATTTTATTTCTCTTTGATATACTTTGTCAAGAAAAGTGGGGGGGGGGGGGGGGGAGCTCGAGGCTCTCGATCCCCGCTGTACCTCGGTCCCTGACATGTACGAATCTCAAGAATCATATTTTTTGCCTAGTTGTAAATTTAGGAATTTGTCGTTTTTCGACAAACACATACAAACGTATAATTTACTAAAAAGTGAGGAAAAATTTCGGAAATTATGTCATTTCAGCATTATTTGTAATCCACCGTTGTGGAACTAGAAATAAACGACGTTTGAATTTGATTTCCCCCAAGCCCCCCCCCCCCCTCTATCAGTACGCCAGTATCTCCTCTTTTCCTTTTTTCTTTCCCTTTCCTTCCTTCTCTCTTATTTTTTTTTTGATGGGGGGGGGGGGGGGGTAAACAGCCTGGGAGGCAAGGCCCTTTCGGCCCCCGATCTCCTTCTTCCCCCTTTTCTTTTCTTCTTCCTCTTCTTTCTTTTCCTTTTTCTCCTTTTTCCCTTTCCCTTCTTTTCCTTTCTTCTTTTTTTTTTTTTTTTTTTTTGCGGGGGGGGGGGGGGCCAAGGCCCGCTCGGCCCCCCCCCCTGGATCCGCGCCTGGTTCTCATCCTGTTTCTGAACATCTTGTTTTGGATCTTGCATAATCACGTCCACGCGCGCCGGAAGCAGTTTGGGATTAGAGGGGGGGGGGGGGGTCGCAAACATCCCAGAAGAGAAAGCTAGTTGCCACTGGTCCAGTTGATGAACCAGTTAATGCCAACTGGTAACGCTTGAAATTGAAATGAGCTAAATGATCCAGGCCAGTTAGAATTCAACGGGTCTAGCTGAGCCGTTAGAACCATTTGGTAAAACTTCCAACCAGTTGAACGGCAACAACACTTCAATACTGGTATGTCTGTATTTCCAATGTAAAGGCATTGGTAATAAATAGACTTACAAAATTTAATTAATCGAAATTTGTTCATATACTTGTATTTTATTGAACATATTTTAGCTCATAGTTAATGTTTCCCTTATTCATGTT